TATGTGTGTGTGTGTGTGTGTGTGTGTGTGTGTGTGTCCTGCCCCGCTAGCCCGCAGGCAGAGCCCACGCGAGCCCCTCCCAGCACCCGCTGCTTCCCGGGGGTTTCCCCCCTCCTTGCCCCGAGGGTCCCCAAGGAGGCTCCGAGCTCCTCCCGGAGGTGACTGTGCTGTCTCGCCGGGACGAGCTCAGCGATTGTTTCACGCTCCCGACGCCAGCGTGAAGGACACGCTGCTGGGGAAGGGTAATACCCGCCTCTTCGGCCATGCTCTCTTCTCCCAGCCGTCCCAGACCTGTTGGGAGCCGAGCACCCCCTTTCGCGGTTTGCAGCCCCCCATCCGACATACCCAGGAGGCAGGAGCAGGCCCCGGGTTAAACCTGCTGTCCCCCAAGGGCTTTCAAGTGTAGGGCTGCTTTTAACTCAGGAGTGCCGGCTCCATGGCTGGTTCCCTATTCTCCTTTTAATGTGGCCTCTGCATTGTCAGGTGCTCCTTGGTTCAGCTGTCACAACAGCTTGGGCTGCACTGCACAAGCCCACTCAAAACAGAAGAGGTAGAGGACCCTTTGCCTGCAGTGCCTCACACTAATAACACTGAAGAGTGGCAGTAACTGCTCATCTGAACTGCTCATCGCATGGTTACATGTTTCTGAGACCATGACACCAGCACCAATGACAGTTTTGCTGTACAAGAGAAGCTACACCTTCAAAGGCTACAAACAGACATTATGTTTGTCCCTGAGTAAATCGTTTTATCCCAGGACAAAATGCAATCGTTCAGGCATCCACATCTGTTATCCCAGGATAAATCCTAAATGCTTCATGGGATAAATAGTACTAACAGTTTATCCCAGGACACGATAAACTGTGTTTGAACAGTTATCCCAGGATTGCATCATTGAATCAATGGCAGAAAAGCAGCAGTGCATTCACCCACCCACTAAATACTGATGAGAAGGGTGATATGTATAGGCACCAATCACGGGATACTTCTGTTCCAGGACAAACACAGGCACAGCTGATCCAAGGACAAATGCAATATCTGTTCCTAGCCCAAAGGGAGGAAATATCATATTGTATCCTCCATCTCCTTTTGTACATCATGGCCTTACAGTCCTTGAGGTACACCCCGGAGGACTTTTTAAGGCTATGAAGCTGGTATGTTGGAGACTATTCCTATGTCTTCTTAATTCTGTCTAAACAGATTGACCTGTGTACCATGCTTGTTTACCTAGCTGCTATTTGTTCATGTTTATCTATAAACAGGTAAACTTTATTAGGGCTATATAAATGAATCCATCCACCTGATTATATCCTAACACAGTGGTGCTCAACTTTTGTTGGCCAACAGGATGGATGTGCAGTGCCCAGGCCAATCACAGGCTGGATCCAGCTGGTGATCCTGATCCAGCATGAAGCAGTTACAGCAGGGCCCCATCCAACCCAGTGGAGGGGGGCAGGGAGCAGCTGGGCTCCAAGCTGGTCCTGCAGGAGGGAGGGGTCATGGCCCAGCCTGGCCCCATCCAGCCTGTGGAAGGGGAATGGCCCAGCCTCATCTAGCCCTGGGGGGTGCAGGGAGGAAACATGACCTGGCCTTTACCTGCTGCACAGGGCTTGGGGTTGGGCATTTGGTGGGTGGGGGGTGGCCATATTTATTGCCACTGCTCACCTGCTCCAAATTTCCTGATCTGTGGGAAGCCCACAGGTCACAAACCAGGGCTGCATTTGGCTTGCAGGATGGAAGTTGAGCATGCATGTCCTAACCCATATATGCTCTTTACCAGTAGGGCCTGAGGAGCAGTGGCACCTGCAATTCGCATTCAAGTACAGTTTTTTTTTGTCTCTAGCACTTCCAGTCTTGCTTCCCAAGAGGCAAATTCTGTTTCGCTGCTAAGTTACATCAGTGAGACTCACTCATTTTTCAGGTGTCACATCACCCAGCAGTGTCCAGCTTTTCCTAGCAGCCTGAATCACATGTACATTGCTAATATCTTACCTGGCTACAATTCTGCCCTACACAACTAAGTGTTCCTACTATATGTTCTCAGCCATGATTCAGTGCTGCACCAAAGGTGCCTATGGATGCACAAAAGCATGGTAGAAACCCCCATAATTGTGGCTGACCAAAGCTATGACTAGCAGATGTTTGATGCTTGTGGGTTTATCCTTTTTCAAACTGTACATTGGTAAGAGCACCTACCCTGGACAGGGAGACCCCAGGGACTCAGGTTCCAGGCCAATGATTCTCAACCATGGTGCCCCCCACCAGATCTTCTGGAGGGTGCTGTGAAGTATGAGGAGGTAAGTGATGTGTTAGGAGATAAGTAGCTAAATTGATCAGATAAAGAACAGGCTCAGGCTTGTCCCCTTGACCTCCCCCATTCCCACTGCCAGGCCCCTCTAAAAGGAGGTAAGCACTGTAATTTATAAATGAGTGTATGAAACTAGGTGCCACTCAATTCAAAAAAGTTTTGAAGGGCTGCCTTGAGTCCAGTGAGAGGTTCCTTGAGTCCAAAAGAGCTGAGAAGCACTGTTTGAGGCTCACCTTCCCTCCAGGGGATGGGAATCATGACGGCTCACCCAGGGCATGGTGAGCACATTAAGTGCCTGGGGGCAAGAGGGTTGGTGACTACTGTGGACTGGGGGACATGGCTGAGGGGAAGGGAAGATCTCCCTTCCTGGGCTACTGCTGCTGCTGCTGCTACTGCTTTTATAGCAGCATTGGCTGTGCTCAGGCAGCAGCTGCCTGGGAGCTGACCATGGTGCCCCGTTCACTCCATTCCCCCTATATATACATGTAACACACACAAACTGTACAAGCCATTTTGTACTGCAAAGTCTGTTCTAGTTTTCATGTTGCTAGGTATTTTGTTTTTTTATATTGGGCATAAGGCTATGCCTGCGCTGGCAAGGGTTCTCTGGGGGTGGGAACACCCTCCTGCTCACTCCTCAGCTCCAGATACATTGCTCTGTGCACCTTGCACTGGTTGGCTCCTATGGCCAGGCAGAGCAGTGCAGGACTGTTCCTGCCATGACAAAGACTCCTGGGAGGGTGACCTTGATGCCCCAACACTGGTTATGCTACTGCTATTCACATCACAGCAACCCAGTCACCAGGTCAGGCAGGGCTCAGATCACATTCCTGCTGGGATTAAGTTACTGGAGAGCCAAGAAGGAAACAGGCAAGCAGGGCTCTAACTGGCTCAGGGAGGTGAGCTTTTGTTTCCATTAGTGTTTGAGCATTTTGCATTACAGGCATTGGGAAAACTGAAGAACAACACAGGGAATAGAGAGCAGCTTTTGCCAGATGGTCTTGCCCACCTGATGCTCCCTCCCCCTGGGACCCTGAGACCCCAAAGTCTCTGACTTACATTTCAGATAAGGAAGGTCCATGATACTCAGCAGTCTCCAGCCATTTGTCATTAGCTCTTAAATGACACCAGCTAACTTTCTCCCCTGTCAAATCATACGTCTCCTGTTACACATCTCACCATACATCCAGCTCACCCAAGAGGCTGGAGTGTGCATTAAGAACTAATGAACCTTTCATTCTCCGATCCCTCCCCCCATGCACTGCAGGCCAGAATCTGCACCCACTTGCACTGATGGAAACCCACTGGGCCAAATCCTGCACCATTACTAAAATTAAATCTAGAATAAATTGACTTACAACAGCCTTACTCCAGCTATTAATCTGTGTATGTGACAAAGTAACATTAAAGTTATTATGTAAAATGCATAAACAGCCTTGGGAACTGGGGAATCCAGGGTTCCCTCCCTTCCAAGAGTAGGTCAAGCGCTTCTCCCTCCACCAGAGTTAGTCTCCCTTTGGTTGCTCTCCCTCTGGCAACATGATTCTTTCCTTGTTGGCTGTCCAGTGAGCCAGCTTCAAGAGGGTGGCAGGGTAGCCTTGACAAAATTTTATAATCACTAGGCTCTTAGAGTAGAAGGTTCTTTATGCTGTCCACATAGACCAGAGAACTCTGCTAAGATGCATCCACCTTAAGCAATCAGAGAGAAGTACGATTCCAAGTAGCTGAATGTAGCTTAGCATAAGTTAGAAAATTCTTCACTGGAATGAATGTAGAGCCATGTGCCTGCTGCATAATGGAGAATCTGTCTCTGGAGGTGTCTAAATGAAATGAAAATGAAGGAGAGCACTGTGTGGCCATACTGAGAAAAGTGGAGTTTGCATCTAAGGGCATGGACATGTGTTCTTGTACCCCTTGAAAGTACAGGAGAACAATGAATCTACACAGGCAAAGTAAAATGCCTCCCTGATCCTGGTCATCTACATCAGGACCTTAGCAGCAGCTACGCATTAAGTGCCTACCAGGTAAAACATGATTTATTTCTAAATGTTTTCCAACTTCTGAATCTGTTCTCACCTTGATCTATGATATAAATGATCCCTTCACGCTCACCAGCCCTGCTGTCTGTGGCCTAGTACTTCTATGTCTAGCTCCAGCTGAGTGTATATGAAGTGGTTAATTCTGAGATCAATGTCTTATCCATCTCCTGTTGGACTTTTGGCTCATTAGGCACAGCTATATTGAGAACTGCAAGTAGTAAGACATGTCAGGGTAAGATGCATGTCAAAGGCAGAACAAAAGTGATCAAAGAAGAATGTGCAAGATGTACTGCCACTCTGAGAAACGCAATGCCA